CGTCATCACACACAGCGTCATCACTCAGTTTATTTTTATCGTCTACAACATTCCTTTCTCGGCCAGTCTCCTTATGACTCGCGTCTGCTTAGTCGTGACATTTGCGTTGGTTGATCCAATCAATGATGGCTTTTAAACGAGCAGTTAAATTGCCCAATTTATCTGCTGGTACAATTAATCACGTCGGCTTGCAATCAAATGTCATTTTGCGATGGATGAAAACGTGAAAGCGATCGTTAGATTTAGCTACTTTAAAATCGTTTTTTCATCTCCATACTAAATTTTATCGATGAATGTTTCAGGATGACATAGTACTTATGTTCTCTGCATTTTTTAACTAATTATGGAGCTTGTCTGCAAAATGCTTTAAATGAGAATATTAGGAATTGGATTGACGTTTTCTTTGTTTTAAATTCATTCTGTCCCCTACACGATAATCCCTTCGAGCGTATTAATTATTTCTTACATTTTTATGTAGGTACGGTACAAGTCTTACGTAAATGTTCCCACTACTTCATTATTACCTGACAGTTCATTTTACACGTAGACTAGTGAAGGCTGTCAAGATCATAACATTCTTTCATTCATTTTCAATTTGAAAATGAATGAAAAGAAAATTATTAATGAAAGAATTATGAATAAGTAACATAATTTATGAATCATAAATTTTGATTTATGAATGAAATCTATGAATCAAAGATTTCATTCATAAATTTATTTCGTTATAGATTTCGTTCATAAATTTCTTTCGTTGATAAATTTCTTTCGTAATAGATTTCGTTCATAAATTTCTTTCATTCATAAATTTCTTTCGTTATAGATTTCGCTCATAAATTTCTTTCATTCATAAATTTCTTTCGTTATAGATTTCGTTCATAAATTTCTCTCGTTATAGATTTCGTTTATAAATTTCTTTCGTTGATAAATTTCTTTCGTTATAGATTTCGTTCATAAATTTCTTTCGTTATAGATTTCATTCATAAATTTCTTTCATGCATAAGTTTCTTTCATTCATAAATTTCTTTCATTCATAAATTTCTTTCGTTATAGATTTCGTTCATAAATTTCTTTCATTATAGATTTCATTCATAAATTTTTTTCATTCATAAATTTCTTTCATTCATAAATTTCTTTCGTTATAGATTTCGTTCATAAATTTCTTTCGTTCATAAATTTCTTTCGTTCATAAATTTCTTTCGTTCATAAATTTCGTTCATAAATTTTTTTCATTCATAAATATCTTTCGTTATAGATTTCGTTCATAAATTTTTCATTCATAAATATCTTTCGTTATAGATTTCGTTCATAAATTTCTTTCATTCTTAAATTTCTTTCGTTATAGATTTCGTTCATAAATTTCTTTCATTCATAAAGTAATGTGTTGCAGGCAGCTGGGTGAGGTGGGTGATGGTGGAGGAGGGCAGCTGCAGCAGCTGGAGGACAAGCTGCGGCAGGCGCAGCAACTGCTGCACGACGCGGACGCCGCGCACGCGCACGAGCAAGGTACGCATGCCTGCTAATACCGGCCCGTATTAGACCGGTATTTTGCGGCCGGTATTGTACAGGCATTTCTTGGCCGGTATTGTACAGGCATTTCTTGGCCGGTATTGTACCGGTATTTCTTGGCCGGTATCGTATCGGTGTTTGTTGGCCGGTATTCTCACCGGTATTTCTTGGCCGGTATTGTACCGGTATTTCTAGGCCTGTATTCTCACCGGTATTTTCCGGCGGAAGTGTACCGGTACTTTTCAGCTGGTATATTCTCACCGGTATATTTATCCCTGCAGGTGTTGCTAATACCGGCCGGTATTAGACCGGTATTTTCCGGCTGATAATCTCACCGGGATGTTTATTCCGGCAGGTATTGCTCCGTTATTTGCTTGCCGGTATTTTCACCGGTTGTTTTCTGCCGGTATTGCATCGGTATGTTATACCGGGGCAAATACTGCCCGGAATTTCCACTGGTCAGTAATTTTTTACATTCAGCACAGATATTTTTATACCGGTGAAGATGTCAAGCGTTAAAATTCCCGTAAGGGATCATTTGTATCGTGTGTGAGTGGGGATTATATATAATTAATATTTTAATAATGGCTTTTATGTCACACACATATTTCTAGTGACTAATGGTGTATATTCTATGAACAATTTAATACGAAACTGAAATTCCCGAATTTCTGGAACGGAAAAATAATCAAATCATATTATTTGATTGCAATTACCTATATAGAAATAATTATACACACGTGAAGCACATCAGAAACGTCATCGAGAACGTTGCTTATCCTGTTGAAAAGAAATATGTTATGTATAAGTTATTTCTCGTTATTAGATTTATTTACAAATGAAGGAGCGCTCACTAATGTAACACTTGATTATTGTCAGGATCTTAACCATTAGGTGCAGGCATGTAAGAGAATGTTAGTATGAATTACTTAGATCTTTCGACTGCATGCATTGCGTGTAATTAATGTTTCGGTGGCAGGACATGATGAAAAAATGGTGAATATGACTGCATTGTTGCCAGTAGAAGCCTGTCATATATTGGAAGTTACTGTAAAGGTAATGGATATATATTCTTGACGTATGATGTCAAAGGTTTTTGAAATAACATATGAAAGATAGAACTTTACGTGCCTAGCGATGTTCCGTTGTCATGCCGAGCCTGGAGTTGACTGCATAGTTCCTATTAAAGGCATGGTATATCTTTGATGTTACTTAATATTATTGACAATTTTTATGATATTGATTGTTAAAAGAACGATATAAAAGATACATCATTATCGCGTCTCGTAGCAGGCGATGTTCCGTCGTAGTTTTGGTCTTAATGTTTTTTTTAAACAATTGCTATAAAAGATACAACATTACCGCGTCCCGTGGCAGGCCATGTTCCGTCGTTCACTCCTAGCCTGGAGTTTACTTTATAGTTGCTATTAAAAGCATAGTATGTCTTTGATGCTACTTAATGTTATTAACATTTTTGTGGTATTGCTTGTTAAAAGAACGATATAAAAGATACAACATTACCGCGTCTCGTAGCAGGCGATGTCCCGTCGTTCACCCCGAGCCTGGAGTTTACTATATACTGTAGTTCCTATTAAAAGCATGGTATATTTTGATGTTTCTCAATGTTATTAACATTTTTTATGGTATTGGTTGTTTAAACAAGGCTATAAAAGATACAACATTACCGCGTCTCGTGCAGGCGATGTTCCGTCGTTCACCCCGAGCCTGGAGTTCGAGGTGACGAGGCGCCGTGTGGGGCGTGGGGTGCTGGAGATGTGGTGGTACTTGGAGGACCAGCTCAGGGACCTCAGGGGCAGTCTCGACGCCTTCCCCAACCACGTCAACCACATCACAACCATCATCGAGAATGGTGCTGAGCATGCCAGGTGGGGCAATCGCTACATGTCATTTATTGTGCATCATCTTTAAGCTATCATTTTCATCATCGAGCACTATGTTTTAGCCTCTTTTTTGTTCTAGCCTACTTGACAGTTCCGTTTCCCAAAGTGAATTTCTTCCACCCAGTAATTTTCGTTAAAGATGCTTTATAAAAATTAAAAGTGTTTGGTAAATCTCTTTATTGTATGAACATTCTGTTCATACAGCTTTTAATTTGATATTAAGCAATAGCTAAGCACTTATATCTCATTGTGTAAAACCTAAAAAACAAATGAATAGACGTATTAGTACGTATTAAATTTTTATCAAATCCACTTATATTCCCTATGGGTCCAGAAACCTGTTTTTTTTATATAAAAATTCACTGTCCGGGTGGGTGGGAGAGCAGCCCCCGGCCAGGACAAAACTGCATCATGCGTTCATACAAGATCACTAGCATTCTTCTGCATCAACTTAACCCTCTACCGCATGACATGAGTAACCGGAGCAATATTGTCACAAGCCTACTTCCTCCAGAAGATACGTTCTAGTGAGCGCAAAATGATTTGCACTGATGGTTGCCGCCACGTACGACAACTTTAAAATGTTCTCTGTTGCGTACAAACGTCTTCAGGTTGCTACACTCAATAGTTTGTAAACGCAAAATTTAAGTTGAAAGTTATGCTCCCGGAGAGTGACGTACGGCGGTAGAGGGTCGATAAATATCGCTAACTGAAAAAGGGGGAGTCATGTTGCCGTACTCTGCAGTAGTGTCTTGTTGCCCTTTATCTGTGTTCCTTGTTGACCCGTTGCAGTAACGTGCGGACCATATTAGGATGGTTACCCCGTTACATCAATTAAAGGACTATATTCCCTCGTTACATTAACGTATTACTCGTGGTTGGGTAGTGGTTGCCCCTCATAGCAGTTAGTAGTCACCTCATACTTCAACATGTCACCAGCATTAGGGTAGTCACCCCGACACTTCAACATGTCACCAGCATTAGGGTAGTCACCCCGACACTTCAACATGTCACCAGCATTAGGGTGGTCACCCCGACACTTCAACATGTCACCAGCATTAGGGTAGTCACCACGCCCCCTACCTCGCATGACTGAGGAGACCATCAAATCTCCATCTAAATAACCCTGCAATAATAAGAAATTATTCAATAATTTATTCAAGGCACTAACTCCTTCGTTTCCTTCACCTCCTTAAGTTTAAATCTGCGTCTATATAAGCATGCAATAATAATGAATTATTGTGTTCGCCATGCCCGTCCGTCCGTCTGTCCGTCTGTCTGTCCGTCCGTGACTTCACGTTGTCGTCGACGAGAAAATGCGCTCTCTGTCACTCACTGCAGTGAGTACTGAGTTATATTTTCCAAATTGTAGAGAGGCAGGATGAACTTTGTTCCTGCGTCTGCGCTGGCAACTTACCTTTAACATCCGAGTCTTGGCTGCAAGATTATCTCATTTCCGTTCTCTTAAACTTAAGAAAACTCTTAGTCCAATTGAGTTAATTGAAATTGCGCGGGTACTTGGAAGCGCTCGAAGAAAGACCTTCCGTGTTCAAGTGTAAAGCGAAAATTTGAAGAGGATAAAAAAAATCGGTAACCGACGTTTCTGTGGTTATTTTGTGTGATTCGAGCATCATACGTGTGATGTCTTTGGGCCCCGACAAACATAAATGTCGTTCATTTGTTTTTTTTTCGGGAGTTAAATATGGTTTAAATGGAGTGACTGAAAAAACACGAAGTGGTTTCATTTTATTGTCCAACAGACGCATCACTGACTCATTACTCACGAGCTAAGCATTAAATTAGGGAGTAAAACAATTTTCTTTTTGGTTGATGGGCTATTATGTTGGAACGGCAGTTGAATAATTTTGCAATACAGAAAAAAGTTTCTTTTACCAACTTTACAATTAAAAATATGTAATAACTCAACTATATTTGGTGCTTTAAAATCTTGGGAATTCAAATATAAAAGAAATGTTTTGCTCCTCGTGCTGACAGCAGCGTTTGACGAAACAAATAGGTTGAAGTTCATTTGTCTGATCCGCCGATGTGTTTTTAGCGCAAAATATAAGCTGCATTACAAGCTATTTAATCCTTGATCATAGGGCTGTGTGTTCTTCGCAGTGTGGCCGTGGGATCACATGGAGGCAGAAAAAATAATTTATTTTTAACTATTACTAAAATTTTAGCTAATATGGAGACACTTAGAAGATACCAGGGTGATTAAGGGTGTACTCGATTTCCTCGATGTACTTGATGCATCGACTAGGTCACTATATAGGAGCACCTTCATTATCAGAAAATCTAATGTGGTCTTCATTATATAAATTATATCAATTTCCATTCATAATTCAATCGATTTAATATCAAGAACGGAATAAAAATAGTTCTAAAGCGCTCATCACCATATGTTTTCATTCCCTTACAAAATTCTGAAGTGGGCTTAACTCGGCAACATGTGCCGCCAAGGAGTCGTGGAGCTCGTCAATCAGCCGCCCTATATGTCCGGTACGGCGGGGTTTAAATACGACGTTACAGGTACACTCGAAAATAGTAACAGTATATAGGTACGCTCCGACCAACCTAGTGGCAGCAATTGAATGAGAAGAACTAACACTGGCTTCAGCCGTAAACTTACGACACAAAAAGAAATTGAAATAGCTGAAATCATAGAGACGAGGTGAATTTCCCTTACAGGAATTCTAACCAGTAGCTGATTTCTGTCGGGTTTCCCTGCAGACCAAAAATAACTCTGAGCTGAGTGTACTGCTCATAGGTAGAAGCCCATGGTGTTGCTCGATTTTTCTTAGGGATGCCACAACATTATAATCAAAATTGAATGCAGTGTTGAACATGTCTAAAAAGTTCTTGCCAATAGGTACTTTTCACAGTAGGTAGAAGGATGTGAAAATTTAAAGTACTCTTTAGTGATAATAGATCAAAGATTTTCCTCTGTTGATTGCTTTAAAATCAATAATTTGTTATGTAACTAGATGTATAAATGCATCAGTATAATTTTATTCCACAATGATTGGAAGTTATGACTTATGGGCTCGTTTCTAAACTTTTATTAATGATAGCAGAACGCACAACTTATTGGGACTTAAGCAGCATGCATTCAATGCAGTTATAATCATTCAATGCTGCCGGCTGTCCGGAGCCATTAGTCTCATTAGTTATTCTCGGGGCATCTTCAGGCTCCTTCATTATCAGGAGCCATTACGAGTTTCGTGACGAGGGGCATCTTTAATTCTGCCCCCTGCGTTGCAAGCAGAATGCCACCCATTGAAAGACGGCATCATTATCCTATGACACAAATCATTATTATTCATACATCAGAATATTTCTTGGCTAGACGTTGTACTGTGAAAAGAATGAGAAACCATAGAAAATGTTTTTATACATAAATACCGGTATCATTTATGAAATATCATGGCTGAAAAGATTTTTAACCGGATTTTATGTATTAAATTGATGGATTTGGCGCTCGTGCCATTTTACGACGAACTTATAGATTTAATAGTTTTTACTCACTTAATAGGATTAGTAATAATTTAATAGCAATAATAATCTAAAGTCTGGCATTAGGCCAACAAAAATTTGGCGCAAAGTACACGAAGCCTGCTGGCTAGGCCAATCGTTTTGCTACAACTTAAAAGCCACAAAAAAGTTTCATTCTGTTCTTGTTATGGTGATAGCTTGCTCAAGTAGAGGCAAGAAATATCCTGAGTTATTGCTCTTTCTGATGCTATCCTAGTCAGCAAAATATTTCAGGAAGAATTCTGCTGACCTACATATTTAGATAAATAAATGGATAGTTGAGATATTACATTCAAAATCGGGTCTCTTGTGGTGTTTATTATTATTAACGTTGAATATTTACCATCGTATATTTCTGTTTCTTCTTTTAATTGGAAAATTGTTGAGACTTTTTGATTTGCAAAGTTATATATTTTAAATTATAAATTTCCCTGGACTGTAATTTTCGTTTTTTTATTCACAAAATATATTTTTAATATTTTTGCCTAAAATGAGTAGTAAAAATTAAAACTTTATGTACCTTAAATCACAAAAACGAGTGATACGAATCATCATTCTCTATAAGAATTAAGATCATTCGAGTAGAGAAGTCAAGTTGGAGATGAAGGCACGCAGTATATCCGGCCTCGATGAGCTTCGTCGGATTCTCTTTCTCTGTGCCTTGTTTTCGCCTCAACGTTTGATGCAATTACTGATAGATCCAAAGGGGGAATATTGAGCCTGCTTCACCAGCCCTCGGGTCGTTTTACGCCAGAAGAATGGAGCCAGGTGGAGCCCGAAAAAATACGAATGTGAATCAAACATGTTGACGATTGCAAGTCTGTGATTGAGAGTCGCTGAGATTGGATGACATTTGTTTTATAACGATCGGCAGACGCGCAGATTAAAAGTTATGCATGTCATTGATTTAATAATTTTTCTGTATAATTCTAAGGAAATTTCGCAATGCATTTTTAATGGGACATGTGTACTATCTTTTAAAGACCGGTATTGAAATTAATATGCGCGGTTTGGGAAAATACACCCAGGAAAATTGCACACATTGCTTTGGAACGGACGTGTTTGGCATTGGTGGCGGAAGATGGAACAATCCAGAGTCCGCTTCCATTTCCTGGCCTAGACTTAGTAATTGATCCCAGGGCTGCGATCCTTCAAAAACATGGAAGCCTCAACTCCACGCAAAGGTCAGTGCTTCAGCGTCGGGATGAACGATGGACGCGACTGTGGTGCTTACACGACCACTCTTCACTCGCAGTCCGCTCTAAGGAGACGCTGCAATAATTCCAAATCAAATGCAAGACACTGCTGTGAGTAACGAAAATCTTAATAAAAAATTCAGATATTATTTTACTTCGTAATATTTGCAATATCAATTGAAATATCATGTAATTTTAGCACAACTATTTTTATAATTAAAAAAGTCACTTTAGTATCTGAGTGACTTGATGGCAACATTCCATGTTTCAGAGGGCTACAGAATCTGTAGTTTAT